ATGTTCCCAGGGATGGGGCATCTACCACCTCTCTGGGCAACCTGGGACAGTGTTTCACCACCCTCATGGTGAAAAATTTCTTCCTTAGGTCTAGTTTAATCTTGTAGTTTAAAACTATTACCCCTATATAGAACAAGAAACAAAGTGAGATTACTTTACACTTGATCACTAAAATGTCCTGAACTAGCAGATAAATACACAGTTTGTGGGACAGCTCTCTCCTCAAAGAATTATTTAATACCTAGTAGGGGAAGGGTGTGAGGAGTCCTCCCCCTGAGGAGGAAGGAGCAGCAGAGACAACGTGATGCACTGACCACAACTGCATTCCCCATCCCCTTGTGCCTCTCAGGCGGAAGAGGGAGAGAAAATCGGGAGTGAAGTTGAGCCCAGAAGAAGGGAGGGCTGGGGGGAAGGTGTTTTAAGATTTGGTTTTATTTCTCATTCTCCTACTCTGATTTGATTGGTAATAAATTAAACTAATTTTCCCCAAGTCGAGCCTGTTTCCCCAGTGATGGTAACTGGTGAGTGATCTCTCCCTGTCCTTATCTCGACCCACGAGCCTTTCATTACCTTTTCTCTCCCCTGCCCAGCTGAGGAGGGGAGTGACAGAGCAGCTTTGGTGGGCACCTGGCCTCCAGCCAGGGTCAACACACCACAAGGGATTACCACTGAGCATTTGGATCAAGCTTTATTTATCTTGTAACTCTTAAACCTTAATCATACGCATGTAAATCAAGGTTAAAAAAAAGCAACTGAAGTAAATTCAGATGTACATCATAACATGAGGAGCCAATACAAATTACCCTAACTGGTTTCTTCAGCAAAACCTCTGCCCATATTCCTGAATTAATACTTCGATGGCTTCAGTTACAAAGTGGAAATTTGACAGAAGACAAAATGGCTTGTCTGAATATGAATGATCCAGGCATTTTCCCTGCCTGAAGAGGATATATTCAAACTCTGTCTGAGAAGAGTTACTATTGGAGTACTTCACAAAAATCAGTATCAATACAAAGATGCAGTAAGCAACAAAAGCTTCAGTTCAAATGCACATAATTTAAATTGAGAAAGAGGTTTAGGAGAAACCCAGGACTGAAATCTCCGCTCTCTCCTCAAACACTACTGATAATGGTTATTTTTAAATGAGTCATCTGCATCTTCCAGGCAGTGCAGTTAACATCAAAGGAAGGCTGTTCAGAATAGTGTGAGGATGCAACCAAAACCAACCACCAAAGAGGAGCTAGTATCGGAACACACACACAGGTGGAATAAAAAAACCAAACCGAACCAAAACAAAAAACCAAAACTGAAACTGGTGACAACAAGAAAAGGTGAAGACTTATCACTGCAAAAATATCTACCTTTGGATTTTCTGTTCTCATGCAAGTACTGTAAGCAAGGCACCAAATGAAATGGAAGTTCACTGACAATGTACAATGCTCTGTTATCATAATCAGTACCAACTTTTACACATATACAAGCCCAAGATTATATACGGGCTGACAATCCAAGACCCTGGATTCTCAGGGTCTCAAAAGAGATAAAAAACAATTACTTTAAGCCTTGGAAAAATTAAGAACTGTTTTCACCTCTTGCCTACTTTTTGTAGACATGCTTATATCTGATATGTTCATATTATCATTTCTGGCTGTATGCAGAAAATTTTGTTTCTTTCATGGTGTCTAAAGACTCAAATCAGCAATTCACATTACTCCATTACAAAAGAAAAATAAATGAAATATCTCGTTTTAAGTTTTTCCTTTTTGACCTGCAACTTGCTGATTCCTATGGGTATTCGCAAATTAAACCTAAGGGTTCTCTCAGAAGACAAAACGGAGCCCATTGTTAGAAAGCTTCAGCAGATTGGGGAACATAACTTGATTGAAGCATTTTTTTGTGTCTGTATATTGAAATGATATGGAAGATCCCACTGATAGTTTCTTTCCTGTCAAATACCCAATGGCTCACATCACGAAGTGGATTTTATTCTGAAGTACTGTGACATTACCAGACATCAAGAACTTGTGTTTTTGTTTTAAAGATATCATAAGATATCTATGAATCTTAAATGGAGATTTATTAAACTTGAGAAAAAACAAACAGTCTACTTACTGGGACACTGGGAGTTTTCACAACAGGTGGTGCTGGCAGAGCCTCTGATTCTGGCTGGTTCCAGTGTCTAGCATTATATACAGCCTTTGTGGGAGACTAAAAGATAAAAAAATAGAAGTTATTTTTTTAAGTAAATCTACCAGTAGTCACTATATACTTCAAAAATTACTGTAGCAATAATGTAGCCAAGCAAGTAAAATGAGCTTCATTTCCCCCCTTCTGTATTCCCAGCAACAAAAGTTCTCAATATCATATGATATCAGAAAACCCGAAAGACTTTGAAGCGTCTGATGGTTTTAGGGACATACAGACCCATTCAAATGGCAAAATACATGATGTGTATGTATTTTAAGAATTTTTCAGTTCTTCTACTTCTAAAATTTATTCAAAGACAAAAGGTCTGCAACCTTCCTACAGACAAAACCAGATAGCTATGGGAGAAAAAAACGTATTAGCAAATGTCATGTCAGTAGAAAATATGACTAGTTTAGAATCAAAATGTAGAGTTTATATAGATTTTGATGCTTGGAGGAATAGAAAACACTCCAATGAATTGCCTTAATCCATATTTAATAAATTAAGAAGCCTTTTTTTTTTCCTTC